TTTCCTACTGCGGCTTGATGCGGAGCCTCCTGCCAAGCGACCTCGCTCTGGTTCGAACGGTTATGCAATCGCCAACGCCATCAACAGCCACTCGACGTCATGACTCTCGCGATCGTCTGTTTGATTCCTAGTTCACAATGATTTTCGTTATTCTGAGGATGATGCTGAGGCGACGACGCCATAGGGCTCAATTTTTGTCCCTGGAGCCGAAGATGTGGCTCCGAAGCCATATTCGTATGATCCTGCGTTACACCCAGGTTGAAAACCGCGTATTTGCGAGGATAGGGTTGAAGTTCCCTATGTAAACGCTGGATGTGTCCTCAGCCAGCTCGGAAGGTCAATATTGTAAGCGCATGACACTGACCGATAAAGCGAGATAATAGCTTCAAGCTACTCAGCTTGAAAACGCATCGCCTGATAGGTTCTTAGTACTTAGTTGTGCATGTTCCCCAACAACAAAAATACATTTTGCTTTGAAGACCTCGTTTTCTTTTGCCGCCAATCGCGGAGTCGGGCGTTACCCTTAGGCGAGTCAACGAGTACAGCTGCACTGCAACATCGCGCAAATCGATAATTGCGGGTGCCGCAAGCATAAAAAAATGGCGTAAATCAAGTGGATGAACGAACCGAACTGCTCATTGCAAATTTTACCAATGGTATCAACGAACTCCATTTCGCAAAATTTTCGCACAGAGGCTTCTCAACACACCACACCACTTATGTCTCTCGTTCTGTTTGCCCATCTGTCTCTAAGTATACCGCTGTAGAAATTACCAATAATTTGGAGTAATATTTTACGAAAAACACTCGTAAAGCTTGCATGACGATCAAAGGCGACAGCGTCAGGAAACCCGTGATTGCAAAAATGTGATCAATTAACAACCGAATCTTCGGCATCGATGGAAATGCTACATGCAGCGATGCAAACCATCTTGCTGAGTCTGTTGACGACGCTGAGCACTCCGTTGTGACCATCAGCTTTGTAAACCTTGTGCAACCAACCGGTCCTTGTAGCGATTGATAGTCCCGTCCGCGTTGCGTTTTACCTTGAACAACCAGCGGCAT